GAGTCCAAGGCCTTCGGAAGAACAATCGGATTTATTGTTACAAAGTGATTCCCTTTCTTTGGATTGAAGAATGACTTCAATTGGTGGAATGATGCTTACCTCTCCGGGAAAGTAGTTCTGAGGGCTTAGGAAGAATAGGAGCTTTCTGATACTCCTCGCATAAAGCAAACCAACTCTAGGGATTAGTTGAATGAAAGCGCCAGCTCATGGATGAGCGATCAAAGTGACTAATCGGCACAGATCGAAATGCCACTCAATTGAAAAGCATAGTAGCCTCTCTTCGGCTTAAGCATCTCTGTCGCGCAATCTTTACTGCCTACAAAGTGATCCCTTCTGGATTGAAGAATGACTTTCGGTAGGTGGCAATGATGCTTACCTCTCGGAATGTAGTTCTGGGGGCTTAGGAAGATAGGAGCTTAGGAAGAATAGGAGCTTTCTGATACTCCTCGCATAAAGCAAACCAACTCTAGGGATTAGTTGAATGAAAGCGCCAGCTCATGGATGAGCGATCAAAGTGACTAATCGGCACAGATCGAAATGCCACTCAATTGAAAAGCATAGTAACTCGACCACCCATCGGGGGGAGAATATGAGATTGGGGCAAAGAGTCCCACGGACTATGGCTATGGCTGACAAGGCTCTTCAAGACCTAACCTATTAAGAAAAGAACAGATGCTCGAGCCACTCAATTATATATGATCTTGGAATAAAGGGATTGAGAACAACTACTTTGGCAGAGATTCCTTATTTCATTTCAATTAAATCAATACTTAATAACTTAGGTAAAATTGTAATTAAATATAAATTATAATTTTGCCCTTAATATCCCAAAACTAATTTGTAATCAAGTCATACTTGATGCAATTTCTCATTTTCACTTTCTTAGATTTATTCTTATGTGTGTGGCATTCTAAGTTCCGAATATATTGGCAACAAATATAAATTAAATTAATTAATTAATATTTAAAGGTCAAGTACATTGTCTAGTAACATGTCAAAACTGTCCAAATATTTGGAAAGTCAAAGTGGTTTGACTTAACCTTTTAGTGTATGATTTATCAGTGTAATTAATATCCCTTCATCATTAATGTTTTGATTTAGTAATTAGGTATGTAGTGTGTCTACTTTACTAAATCATGTTAGTTCTCCTAATCTTAGGCATTAATTGTTTGAATGAAATTTCAAATCTAATTTGCTAATTTCATTCTTCTTTGTGCAAGGATTTCTTAATCAATACTAATAGAACAATTAGAACATTTTCCCTGATTTACCTAGGGTGACGAATCCTCTCTTAATTACACAAGTATCTCCACACAGTTGCTACTATATCCAAAAAAATCATTGCTTATTATTCGTGAATGAATAATGTGAACAAAGAATCAAAACATAGTCATCCCCATACAAGATAACTTAGTAATTTCAAGTCAAAGACCTTCAGATTTGAAATTAGGTCCGCATTCTCTCATCGAGCTTAGGAAGCACCCGAACAACTGGATACATTAAGGGCACGAAGTTAGCATAATATGTTAAAAAAATTATCCAAATGCACACCAAGATTGAATATAATAAAATAATTAAAATTTCCAACTTGTTAATAAGCCTTTTTCTTTTTCTTTTTTTTTTTATTCTTTCCAGTAAATGGTAATAAGGCTTCTAAAATATAAAAACCCACTTTAAGCATAACCTTTTTGAGTTTAATATATAAATTTAGGCAATTTTTTCTTGTTATTTTCTGAATTTATGAAATTCAATTATTTTTAGCTTCTTCACCGAGTAGTGGGTGACCTAAAAAAAAGTTTCCATGCTTTTCAATCACTACTCTTTCAATCGCTCGTGCTCCTCGCCCCATCGAAGCACTTTGCTTGCCTTCAAGCAACGCAGGAGAATTCCAGTTCTCCATGAACTTAGACTCCTTATTCAAGTTATCCGATTTCTAAATCAATAACAACCGACTATACACTTTTATATATTAATAATAGTTATATGTTTTATCGAAATTAAATAATTTTACAAAAGTTTAATCGTAACTTTACACTTTCATATTTTATTTTGACGATGAATATAATTATTGTTAAAATATAAAATACAGTATCATAATTGGAACCTATGAGAAATTTAAGGGGCCATACCCAAAATTTTAAAGTCAAAATTTTAATATTAAGAGGATTTTTTATTACTTTTGTTATTGCAAAGAAATAAAGAATAAGAACGTGCTTGAATACATCATGTCGAAGAAGCCAATTTTTTTTAAAAAAAAATTATTTCACACATGAGAAAAGACACCTGGATCTGACACATTCACACGTCATACCTAACAACAGGAATGATAAAATGACGGACAGGAACTGCTTCCACATCAGCAAAGTTAGAAAGACAGCTGGAGGAAACTTGGGAAGCTAATGCACATGGATGGGGCCCATTTTACATGTGGACAAAACGCGGCAGTGGATCCCAGAAAGCCACGTGAAACGTTTTGGACCTGTACTTTTACTGAGTCATTAAGGTCAGCTTTGACATGTTGGCCACATCGGTGATTTATATATTGCTTGTCAGAATAATGATATTTAGGAGACTGCAAACTTTGACCTTACTTTTGTCTTCTAAAAGTTTCGATTTTCATACGAAGAAATATACAAATTTGGATACTTTACTCCATCCGGATGATTTTGTCCGTATAATTTAACAAAACACGTGTATTACCGTTTATTGAGAATTTAACCAATAAAATTATTTTTTTATTTTTTATTTTTAAATTATTAAGAAATTAATAAAAATTATTCATTTAATAAATAATTATATGACCGGGTTTAATGCAAGAACTATAAATAAAGGACCAGGATCCCTTATGAAAATAGGAAAGATTCATTCACTACATAAGCATAGTCCAAGCGAACCCACTTAAAATCCTTTACTGAAACTTATGACCGCATCATATTTAGCAAATAAACGGTATTCCTTGAGCTTAATGCGCCGAAAACAATGAGGGATTAGCTCAAAGGAAAGTACTAAAAAGGGTGCTAACGGCAGTGGGACTCCTGCGGCCGGTAATGAGAAAGCTTAAAAAATGAAGCCCATTTCTTTGAAATCCCACTATAGTATGCCAATAAAAAGAAAATGATCCCCAAAGTAAGAGAAAATGACTTGTAACTGTTGAAGCTATAAGTATCATAACCCCTGGGGATATTTACAAAAATAACGAAAAAGTTAAAAGGTGACCGAGATGCAAAGGGAAAAACTTTTGTTTAACATTTTCCGGGGAAAGACCCACCTATTTGTTCGTTTACCAGGTTCGGCACGAAAATCATAAATTAAGCTCTACCAAGGGATTGCCAAGCATGGGTACTGACCTTTCCTCCTCCCTTTTAGTAACAAAATAAATAAGGAAAGTAAGACCAAACTGAGAGTGAGCAGCATTAAAGAAAGATGGATTTGTTGAATGAGGAAATACAAGTCACCTATCTCCATAGGAAGAAATGCGGATTTATTCTCAAAATTGACTCCAGGGGCTTTGGGGGCAATCAAATTGAACTCATTTAACAAATTCCTGCCATATAAACCATTTGAAAGTCCTCACGGGCGAGTTCATTTGTTAGACCGATTAATGATCAAATATTTACCTTGTTTGAGCATCAACATTAACATGGCCAGGACATGTTCGGCAAAGCTCTCTTACCGACGTCCATTGCTGGTGGCAACTGAAGAACAGTTTGCACTCCATGTTTCTAGAATACTTGAATCCACATAAGTCATGTATAACTCTTGCCCGATCATCGAGGGCTATGGAATAGAATGTTTTGATTTTCCATTATTTTGGAGACAAAAAAAAGGATTCTCTGCCAGACAATTCACTCCGTGAAGCCTGTAGGGAGTAGTGAAGAACTAAACGTTTTCTGTGCTTGGTTTGTTGACCAAGGGAAAGCATGGGAGTCTGGGGTAAAAGTTTCTTATCTTATCTTACGATATTTCTTTTTGGCTGAAAAACAGCGGAAGCCTTCTCTTTAAGAAAAAGAGTTTAGAAAAGGCTTGACGCATGGGAAGGAGATCTTCCTCCTTAGAAGGAGATGAGCTACCTAAGATTCTTTGTATGTATGGGTCTCGGTTAATTGAAGAGAGGAGATAGGAAAAAGACAGAGAAATGGCGAGCTCTTTTCTCGTGTTGTTCCTCAAACCACGACACTGAGATAGCAAGCGAGTATATCTACCTAGACGGAACTTCTTCATTTTCTCCGCCCGACAGAGGGCTGCTTCAAACGTATTACCGTTAGACCCGAGAAAGTTCTTTCCCAAAGTTTTCCTCGTTACCGTTTAAGAACCTCTTCAGGGCATGCCCCTGAGACTAGTGCTACTCCCTGCCTTCCTTTTTGCCCATCTGAGCTTACTCGGAACGGGAACTACAAAAACTATAAAAATCAAATACAGAGGCAACCACTATCAAGTTAAAGGGTTAAGTTAAGACGATGATTTCGATCCTGATCTTTCTATTGATACTAATTCCGAAAAAATCAAATACAGAGGCAACCACTATCAAGTTAAAGGGTTAAGTTAAGACGATGATTTCGATCCTGATCTTTCTATTGATACTAATTCCGAAAAAATCAAATACAGAGTCAACCACTATCAAGTTAATAGCTTAAGTTGACTACTCCAATGATCGGTCTAAAACAAACGACCAGCCCAAAACGGAGGTCGGTTGAGCTGGAACTTGGCTCATCGGTAGGGGAGCGTTCCACATTAGAGGGAAGCACCTGCGCGAGCAGAGGTGGACGAAGCGGAAGCAGGAAGCAAGAATATCGGCTTAAATAACGCAAATATTGGTGAGAATCCAGAGTTCGATTGAATTAATGCAAACATTGGTGAGAATAAGAGTTCGATTGAGAATTCATCTGGCTCGATCCAAGTTCATTCGAACTGATCCCATAGAAAGTCTGTCAGAGACTGCAGCGGATATGCAAATTAAAATTAACTAATCAAGATGGTAAAATCTTTGAAATCTTTTCCCAAACTCTCAAAATTCTCTAAAGCCTTCTATATACCTTAAAATGTCAGTCGCTCTGCCCGAAGACCGAAAATTAGACATGGGTCCCAATTTATGCAGGGGAATGCATAATTTCTTTCCAAATATAAATACAAAATCAACTAATAATAAAAACAAAAGCTCCAAATAGATTGAGACTCACGAACCAAATGCCGCCTTATTTATTTGCCAAAGGTGAGAGGAAATTGAGGTCTGATCACATGGTATATTTCTGCTGCATCTCTTTTCATCCTAACAACTCTGTTTTTTCAACTCAATGGAAATACAAAAACAAACTCGAGAATGCCGGAGAGAAGCTCAGTATTCCACCCATAGGGCTACTGCTTGCTTAGTTCCTTTATTGAATCACAGTTCCAGAAGAATTTAAATTATTGACCAGCATATGAAGGTACTGGCAAAAAAGGAAACGGTGCAACAGAAGCATATGCTACAGGTGGACGAGCTTGTTTATCTATATTTCTATGCCTTTCTTTGCTCTTTTGGTTGTCATGTCCAGAGTCTGCTACTACTGCTTCCAGTGAAGTCCAAAGCTCATCCTCTCCTAATTGACGGTGCAATAGAAGCCCGGACATAAACACAGGAAGATATAAAAGACTGGCATGAAACATTCTCTTCGCTTTGTGTATTGTTCGGTCTCGGTAGAATGAAAACGCTGAGGCACTTATTGCTAAAGTCAGAAGTGATGATTCAAGACAAAACCAACCGGATGTCACACCCCCTGCACAAGATATTCAGTAAATTAAGTGATACACAAAGATGCAGCCTCCTAGTTTTCATCATGACATGTTTTAAGCTATTATAAATGTAACAAAGGCCCAAATAAGTGTCAGTTCTCAGAAAAATCAATAGAATGCACCATATAAGTCCAGGAAAGGTACCAGGGCAAAGCTGCATCAAGCCATTAAGAATTCTAATAATTTTTAATTTGTTAAAAATTTTCTATGCCAAAAAAATGAATTCTATATGGTTAAATAAGCTCCAGAAACATGTTATCACATGCAGAAGGAATCATAAAAATCTATGAAATAATTTCAATTAGCAAGCTTATTTATTGGGTACAAGGAACAAAAGATTCAGGGGTAATTCGTTATGCTCAGAACAAAAACATGTAACTAGAAGAAAAGTTAAGCAATATCTAGGGATCATATTAAGATCTCAAATAGCAGAAGTTGTGTTGTATATCAGAAGTGAAAACTGGTAAGCGAGATGCAGATTAGGTCAAGAGTAAACTAACCCAACTACCTATAAGAACTGCTCATCCATATTGTTGAAAAATTAGCTTAATGCCAAAACTTTTTATTTAAAATGTTAACAGATGAAAGTAAAATCCATTAATAACCAAAGTAAAGGATCTCATGGTGATAAGAAATATGATAGGAATTTGCAACAGGGAACCAAATGAAGGAACCATGAACAAGAAAGAAAGCACAAGCCTTCCCACATTATACGTTTTGGAAGAAATTAGATATAGACAACCTTTCACTTGCTTAGCAAGCAGGCTGTTCATTATAGTTTGAACTCAAAACCTTTAAGATGATGATGGAGCAACATTATTGTTTCACCAAGCGCATTCTTGAAAAAACCATAAAAAGAATTGTGTTTTCTTCAGTTGACAGGAACTTACAGTCGTATGCTAAATATCCCAGTGGAACAAGATATAGGCAGTTCCTCAGAGCTACCGAGGCAGTTCTTTGACCAGAAGCATCGGCAAGAGAGAACATCTTAAACCTAGATATGCCACCAAATGATAAAATAAGAGGAAAACGTCAGAAGAATGTCAAATTCCCATATATGCAATAGGGAACCACTTCCCTCAAAATTATCTATGTTGATTATTATCCAGATCAGATACTGTCATGTCATCCACTTGTTATTTTGATAAAAGAGATTTGTTCCCAGTACAGCCAATCAGACTAATCAGAAAACGGTTATCACTGTAGTTTCCATATAAAAAATTTAACAAATTAAATAGCCACCAAGTGATTCTGAAATCACAGCATATGCACATACCCTCCAGCAGCATAATCATTGCGACACAAATATGCAAGGGCCATGAAATGAGGTATTTGCCAAAAATAAAGTGCAGCAGGAAGAATCATTGCATTGAGTGAAACATGGCCAGAAGCTGCAGCCCACCTGAAAACCAAGAAAAGAGAAGCATGAGCCTTGCAGGCATTAGTTAACAGTAAATCTAGATTTTACTCAGCACATACTTAAGATGGGAAATCATATGTCACGTGTATATATGTAAATAATAACTGGAAAACCCCTAATCAAGTTCGAAGGAACAACTTTTCAGGTCACAAGCTAGGGAATTGTAGGAGAAAATTGTGCATCAAAAAGGCCGGAGGACAAAAAATTACCCTAAAAGAGGTGGAATGGCACCAACAACAGCCCCAACCCATGTGTTGACTGGGTGAATCTGCTTCAGTGGAGTATATACAAATGCATAAAGAATAAGATTAGAAGCTCCAAGCCCAGCTGCCAACATATTAGCCTGCAACAACCTTGTCATGGAAGTAACAATATTAATAGTCACTCATCACCCAGGAAATAAAACAGGCAGCATCAATAAGAGATAGCTTTAACAGAGTCAAATAAAATTGGATAATGAAAAAATTGGGGGTGAATTTATTTGGCCACCTTGCATGCCAATAAAGCAGTGCCAGCTAAACCAACAGAAGATGCCCAAGCCACAGCATGAGGTATTGTAAGACGCCCTGAAGGAAGTGGTCTGTGCCTAGTTCTTTTCATTTTGGCATCATTATTGACCTCAAACACCTAATAGCATGAAATAAAGTAAGCCTTAATATGCTGAAAAGCAAATAACAGAAAACATTATTCAACAATTCAACACTTACAAAAGACCAACAGCCTCTATAAGGTCAACCTAGGCAATTATGAAATTTTTCTTCCTAAATATTTTTTAACTCAGTGCAATACCAATTACATTAGGAAGTAGTTTCAAACCAAAAGAACAAAGAAGAAGAAAAAAAAAATCCTTCAGAAAAAAATACTTTGTCAAAATAAATTTAGACTTTAACTGTTTATTAGTTTTTCATCGAACCGCTCCTCAGCTTTTGCATATGGATTAGTTTTTTCATATTATACTGAAGACCTTTCAGAGTTTCTAAAAAATTGTTATGCCACTATGAGTCTTATAGAAGATTGTAAATCCTTCCCCCCCACCCCCTCCGATTGTAAAATCCTTCCCCCCCACCCCCCTCCCCCCTCCCGCCCCCCACCCCCAAAAAAAAAAAAAAAAAAAAAAACCATTTGACCTGTGCTTCTTTGCCTTCAAAAAACAGCAAATTGACCTTTGCAGAAAAAAAAAAAAAAAAAAAAAAACCATGACCTGTGCTTTTGCCTTCAAAAACAGCCAAATGACCTTGCAGTCACACAACCATACTAACAATAGTTTCCGTTTCTCACTTCACAAGTATCCTAATCATGATACAAAGACACAAGTAAAAAATAAAATTTGTTATCAGAAAGAAATTTTACGCCAAACAGTGAGATTCCCAACTATGTAAATTTCTTGAAGCACCACATGAATGAATGCTTATGAAAAAGAAAATTCAAAAGCATTTATAATGGGAGACAAGGTCCCTCATGATAAGCAAAATTAGGTAGTGTTAAGAGTCAATATGTTAGGTAACATGGAACCGACCAATACAATCTCTCCTGAGAATACCTGATTTAATGAGTTAGCAGATGCTGCAACCATCATCGTACCAGCACAGGTCCAACAAAGTCCAGCCAAATCGACAGCATTGCTACTCCCAAGAACATATCCAGTTCCGGAAGTTGCAACAACTAACATGCTGAAAACAAGTGAATAGAATTCACAAATTGTAAATTATAAATTCCTAAAACTGAGTTCAAAAGATAATTCTGTACACAAAACCATAAATTAGTGCATCATGTGGAAGAATCAAACATTATGTATATTCAGTAAGCCGAGATATAGACAAGCAGAAATAGATAATGCCAACTTCAAATGTTATTATCCAAAAAGGATCCATAAGAACCACTGTTCAAACATATTTCCCAGCTAATTCCAAAAATGACTGATGCCAATAACTTGCATATGGCGCTATCATAAGAATTCTCAAATGCAATTAAAAGAGAAAAAATAATTTTATAAATTGCATACAAGCTCCTTGCAACAAACATGAAATAAGTGTCATGCGAAAGCAGGAAAACGGGAACTAAAAGTGGAAAGGTGACCTGAGCCGAGCTTTGGATAGCTCCCAGTAGCAGCGGCTGTAGTGGCGTGCCAACTGCATTGCGGAAGACAACAATGAGAGATCAAGAGCCGAGGAAGATGCGGAAAAAGCTCGAATTCCATCAGATTTGCGGTTCAGAAGCATGGATTTTAAGGAATCTGCAGATGAAGTGGCAGCGGCGGTTGTAGAAGCTGTGGATGACAATGAGCAGCGACACAGCAATTGCGGCACAGACACAACATCATTTGCAGCAAAAATAGATGGAAACCACGATCCATGGAGGTAATAATTACGGTTCGCTAGCAGCTTTGATGAGAAACTCACCGGGTTCCTCCACATGGTGACCTTTAGAGACTCCAAAAAAGAATGAAAAAGTTGGACTCTATTTTTGGGTTCAAGTGCCAAAAATTACAGGGGAAAGAAAACAAAATAAAGTTATTTGAAATTACAGTGGAAAGGGAATAAAACTTACAAATCATTATCTACGCACAGTGTCAAATTACAGTTATAGTTTCTACAACAAAGCAATGATACCCAAAGAGAGAGGGTTGACAGAGAACAGAAGGATTTTGTGGTTGGATTGACCAGATTCCTCTTTGGTGATTTTTCACTAATTTGAGTCTCCTTTATCCTTGAAAGTTGGTATTAGTTTTGCATTACCACTTGTACTTTGTTTTCTAATGAAATCAAATATTATTCACATCTATGAAAGTAATCCTATTCATATCTATCAATAGAATACACATGCCTATAAAAGAAAAAGAATGAAAGCCTCACCTGACCTTAAAAGTTGGTAAGCTCGACAAGTTTATCAGATGAGCTCAATCAGAAACCATTAATCAACCACATTTATTTATCCAAGGCAAGTTGATCTTTTAATCTCATGAAAACAACATAAGTAAAGTTCCTTTCTGACACAGGGCAGCTTGGAAAACATGAAGTTTTAGGATCAGGGCTAGGATTTATAGAAATCAAGAATTAGGTCTTAAAAATTTAATATAAATGACTTATGTGTTCTCTTATTATTTCCAATTGGACGATCCAACAAGAATGATTATTATTTTGTTGGAAAAATTGAATTTCTTTAAAAAATAAACGAAAAAGTTGAAGCAAATGAAAATAAAATGCTAGCATCATACTATCACAGTAATAGGATTTAGGATTCATACAAGGTTAAAATTACGTAAGACAACTCAAAGATAAAACATTTTCTGCCGTAATATTATCAACTGAAAACTTAATTAAAAAGCATAACAAGCATATAGACCCAAACCACTCTGATCTCTACTTCACAGGACACTACTGCTAAACCTTTACTTAATATGACTTCAAAATTAGTCCTCACCCTTCAAGGATTTGGAAATAAAAAAAAAAAAAAAAATAAAGGGATTATGATTATCCTAAACTAACTAGAATTCTAAAATGACTTGAAATATATGTGTGTGCGCGCGTGTGTGAATATATATATATATATATATTTCCTAATAAATCGGGACACAATTCCAACATAGCTGAAATTATAGAATTGCTTATTAGTGACTTATTTATTACAATTGACACATAAATATAAATCTGAAAGGACTACAATTCTAAATTTATTGAGCATTTGAATTTGAATTTTCTTGGTTTCCTTGTCTGCACCACTTTCTCATCAACCAATCAATCTCTTGAACAAGATATTGATTTAATATTAATTAATTGAAGTATACATTTGTGCATGCAAGCATGTCAAGTTAATAATTTTAATATTGATTTTAATAAGAAATCTTATATGTGTTTGATAAAAGTTCCAAATGACTGTTGGGGGGTTTATGGTTTCTGTTTGAAATCCTTTTTGTATTTGCTCCTTGCCTACCGTTAGTAGCATATCTATGTTTGTATTCTAACTATACTAACAGATCAATTTAAAGACAGAACTTTAAGACAAAGAACACTTACCAATTTGGAACCCTTTTTCTGTTAGGTACTGAAGACGATGAAAGTCAGTTGAATTGGCTCTTGGAACTTGATAATACCAGCGGTAGAGTGAGGAATGTGATGAAGCCCCAAATCAATTGCATCTATATTTCTTCCTTAGGGTTCGTACAGAGAGATCTTGGGAGAAAGAGTCCTTCTAATCAATCTAATAATGGAAAAAAAATGAATTTTGCCATTTTTGTTTATATTTAATTTGAAGATAACCTAGCAAATTAAAATAAAAAGGAAAATTAAACTAAATAATGTTTAAATTAAATCATAATTAGTTCTACAGCGGTTAATATTACTGGAAATTAAAACTCATGATCAACTATATAGTTGGTTAAATGCATTTTCAAAGTCCATTATTCAACAGAGAAGATTACTATATCGAAAAAAAAAGCAAAAGCAAATGATTTTTTTTTCTCTCTTTTTAGTCTGTTTCCTAAGACCAGGAATAGCCAAATTTGACCCGGACATTTCTTCAAGCACCTTATGTGCATAGCAGAACTTAAATATAATATGAGCTATTCATTCAGTCGCCCAATTTTCATGGAAAAAAAAAAATCCATGAAACATCTATAATCACATGATAATGGGATTAAAAGAAGCCCATCGATCATATCGTTACTCTAACGATTAATACCAAATTATGCTCATATTCAATCAAATTTCACAAATACCTGTTATCTTCAATAAGCAAAACAAATTCTACTGTTACTGGAATAAAAACTCACCTTCCATAAATACTTAAGCATGAACAGCCCCAAGTGAATGTCCAATTTCTACCTTTGTATATTCGATTTGTAGAAGAGGCAATAAGATATGAGGGAGAGATTTCGGATTTGCGAGAGAGAAGAAAGGAAGTCGCAAGCAAAATCGATAGCTTTTAGGGATTCAGTATTTTTTTTTTTCAGTACGAAATGACGCTGTGTAGGTAAAACCCGGTTCATATCGTTTGGCCGATTTTCGGGTCTGTCGGGGTTCTTCCGGTCTTACCCGGTATTCGATTCGACCGGCCGGTCCGATTCGGTTTTGAAAGTTTAAAATTGTCTGGACTCCCATAGAACTACGCCGTTTCCTATGCTTTATTTTTAATTTTTTTTCTTTTGAACTTCATTTCCTATGCTTTAATTATTTGCCCTTTTTATTAATCCGTTTGGCAATTGTCTTTTTCCATCATTAATGGCAGTTTAGCTGGTGTTGAAATTTGTTCTTCTTTTCAAACTTGCTGGCAGAAACACAAGTTATGGGGGCACTGCACCAAATTACAAATACAGTTTCTACAACAAAGCAATTATAACAGCAAAAATAAGAAAGCCAGAATTTGAACAGGGACAAGCACTGCTTCACTACTGGCAATGAACAAGGAAAGAGATACCTGGAATTAGCAGACGAGGAACTAATGAGACAGTGCGACATGGATACTTTCAAGGCCCCAGGCCCTGGCAGTCAGTACCGCAACAAGCGCGAGTCTGCCGTCCGTCTCAAGCACCTTCCTACCGGTGTTATTCTCAGGTCAGGATTTTCATTTTTTTTTTTTGGTGGATTTCACAATCTATCATCTTGAATGCGTGTTACATGTTTGTTCTTCTGTTTAAATGATATAATATATTGAGGACAGCTCACAGCACAAGAATCGCGCTCCAGCCTTAAGGCGCCTGCGCACTCTTTTAGCTCTAAAAGGTACTCATTTTTGTTTTCTTTTGGCTACATAACAATATAAACAGGAGTTGTGCTAATTGTGAGCTAGTCAGGAACAATTTCCTCTTGAGTCAACTACTAGAGTATCAGAAAGCGGTCCACAAATTGGACCTAATAATCCTAAATTTGTTTTGATATTGTTTCTTTTCTTCCTTTTTTTTTTTTTTTTCGCTTTCATTGGGAATACCTTTTTTTTCTAATTGACTGAGCACGAGGAGGTTATACAACTTTTTAACGTAGGCAATGCAAGCTCTGCTGAACCTAATCTTTGCTGCTGAGTGTTCTATATCAGAAGCAGCAAAATTGCTTGGATACATGATCTTGAATTTTTTATCCTGCCTGTAACTAGGCTTTCTGGGCTAGATGGATATATTAACTGGGTTGTTTCCTGGATATCCTAAAACATTATCAACATTCTTTGTTGGCATTAAATTCAGAGTTACAGTAACTGGCTTTTGGGCTAGATGGATATATTAACTGGGTTGTTTCCTGGATTATTCCTAAAACCCCTTTTATCAAAATTTCTTTGTTGGCATTAAATTCAGAGGTTATCATTTTTTTTTTTTTTTTTTTTTTGCTCTTATACAACTCGCATGTGTTAAATAAGAATAATTTATCAAATTATCCTTTCAAATTTTTTTTTTTTTTTTTTTTTTTTTGCTCTTATACAAACTCGCATGTGTAAATAAGAATAATTTATCAAATTATCCTTTCAAATTTTGCTTGATTAGAAAAGAAATCTTTTTTCCTATTTAGGCTTAAAACTAGATTGTTCACTAAGCACGATGGATGACTTGATTTTATTAATCTCGCTCCTGCAGGTTAAGCACAGGGGCACTATCAAGGTTGATACTGGCAGATGACTCTCTTCGCATGCCTGTGAATGACTTGAGGATTTCCAAGGTAGAAATAGTGATGATTTATGGTAGGATTATTGCAATGGTTTACATGTTGTGCTATTACTATTTTGTTGCAGTAGAAGACAAAATCATCTCCATTTAAGAATGCTTTACATATTTTGGTAGCACCCAGGAAAAGTGGATTGCTTCAAACAAATCAAGTTGCAAAGTCTAATTAAACTTGGCTTTGATGTTATTTAGAAAATCTATTATCCATTCTAAGTGACCTTCTAGGGCAATTCCCTTACTGGAATTTCATTTTGAAAGTAATCAAAAGTCTAGTTTTCTTCAATATGATGTAAGATTTACTTCTTCAACCTTTTCTTAGTCCAGCACAGGCTCTTTTTGTTTTGTATTTCATAATTGCTGTAGTCAAGTCTACTTATCATCATCCCATGAAGAGTAGTTTCTTTATCTTTTTACTGTCTAGTACCAAATGCATATTTTGAACTATTGACAGTTGCATAACATGATCATCCAAATCAAGCATCGCTAGAACCTTTTATCAGGTGGTAAATGACAAGTTGATTGGCTTAGTTTTGAAGTGTAAATCTTACTTATCAAAACAAAAGGCAAAAGAGTTTTGGAGTTAAGAGCAGATGATATTTATTGACTTTGACTAGAAAAATTCCTGCTCGAAAAAGAAAAAAAATCATATAGAGGTGCTTTTCATCTAGTACTCAAGGCTCTTTATTTTGAGGGCATATGTGATGATCCCTGGGCTCCGGGCCTGCAGGGAGAGATGAAAGAAAAATTACCAACAAAAGAATTTCTCCCTGAGATCATTCTTTTTTAGTGATGTAAAACTCCCTTGGAACCTTTTTCCCTCTGCCTTATGTTATGCAGATGAATGCATTGCATAATTTTGCTTGTATTAGCCTGGATCACTTGGGGTTAGTAATCAAAATGTGATTAATAATGACATTTAGAAGTAGCAAATGAGAAAAAAGTGCTATGGGCTTAAAGAACATTTCTTAAATTATCTTTCAATTGATCCATCAACCATATGCAGAATGCGGTTGAAGGGTATAATCAATAAAAAGTAGTAGCAAGAAACTAAGGGTTCATTTTATGAGAAGTGATTTATTTTATGTTGTTAGGCTGCACTAATGTAAATCAATTGAAAAATATTTTCTAGTGGTCAAATTTATTGGAAAATATTAGTTTTCTTTCAATATATAAAACTATGAAAGTGTTTGAACCTACAAGAATTCATATTTTGCTATTTGCGGTTGAATATAAAAGAGAATTACATAAAATGGTAAATAAAATGCTTGTTATTTTGCCTGTGTGTATTTTAGTACTTGTGCCTTTACATATGGGTGAACAATGCCTGAGGTTTGAACTAGCAAGAACATGAATGTTATTTGCATTGGTCATGATGACCCTAATTTCAAAAAGATGAACCTAGACATGATAGTGGTACAAAGTTTTAGAGCATGCGTATTGAATAAATAATCCAACTTTAAGTATAGGAAGAAAATCAGAAGAGAGAGTCAAGGAGACAGTTGGGTGGCAGGTGCAATGGTGGAGCTATAGAGGGGAAAGAGGAGGCCTTCCTACCCCCTTCCCCACCCCAAAATCCTACAATTTGATCAAAAGTTTCTTTATAATTTAAAACTTCCAATTCCAAGATTAGTGTTCAATTAATAGTTTAAGTGCGCAATTTTTTATATACATTTTGCATATAATTTCAAGTAAGTTATTAAAAATTCAGAGAAACTTAATGACATTTTATTTCATTAATCTTTAGAATTTTTCTAACAAAAGTTGAACGCATATCATATTTGATCACTTTTCTTTTTGAATATAATCATTTAACTTAGTGGCAACATAAAAATATTAATTACTTTTTAGGATATTTTACGTATAGCTTAAAAATTCATGTTTCAATTTTTTTCGTAATAAATTCAGGATTCAAAACTATTTTTTCCATGATTTGGCTTCTGAAAATGTTCTACTGCACTTCTTTTTTCCCTTGTTTCATGTTATTGAGCTCATCTTCAAGTAGCTTTATCCTTCACAAGTCCTTTTTTTTCCAAGTCATGATAGTGTCAGAAGAGAACAATGAAAAAGGCTGAAAGATGTTTGGTTTTTGGGATAAAATATATGTTTATATTTCACCATTTGTCTATTATACTATTATTCATTTGCTTGACAAGAATCCAATATCTATATGTCAAAGAATTTTGATTCCTTCATGCTGTTATGCAGTTCTTTAATGTTCATTCTAAAATATTTTAAGGAATTTATTGACTATATACTATCATCTCTTCCCCCCTCTGAAGGCAGAAAAGGATCATTATTATGCTACTCTTGCAGGGTCTGAAGCCTCTGAAGTAGGAGGGAATTTCAGGTATTGCACTGTCCTTTTTCCCTTTCTATATTTGATACAACAATTGAAGTGTTTTATAATGACTGCATGGAAAATGATTTTTCTCTCTTATTTGCATTTTGAGTTTTGCATGTCATTAGCTAAGAATAGCACAGGTTGAGTTATAATATTTACATGTTCTCGTAATACATCCCATTTAGTGGTTGAGCTTCCAAATTTGTTTAATGCTTTACCTTTATGATACGGTTACCTGGTGTGAATTGGCCGGTAGATGTCAGATGTTCCAAGACCAATGGGAACACTATACTTGTACCCAGTTGTAACTAAGGAAACAGTTAGCTCAGTGCTTATAGGAGAGGGTAATGGAGAGCAGTTCCCCGTGTACCATGCTAGTCAAATCTTTAAAGGAGGCGAGTTAAAACATCAGCTCATCGATTGCAGTCCAACGAGCCAGTTAGAACCGAACCACAACCAAATTTGGCAATTGAAAATTGCCTGAAATAGTTGAACAATGCAAATTGAAACCGGTGATGCACTTGTCAATTAAGATTTTGTTGCTATTAAAAATTAATTTAATCGGTCTGAAATTGAATGTTGAATCTGCGGTTCGGTCTAGTCCAGTTCATTATATGTATAACTAAAAAATTCTTTTGAAAACTTTTTTTGTTTTTCAGCTCTTTTTTAGTCGTAACTGGGCAAGCACAACACAAACCTTTGAAATTTGAGAAATTTATTACTCACTAGGTTCAGATAGCAAACATTATGGCCCTACTTTCTGAAATTTGCACTAATTTTTTTTCCCCGAAAGAAATAAAAAGATTCGCATAACTTCGAAAGTGAATTCTCAGCAATTTTTTTTTTTTAAAATACACATAATGCCGGAACCATAGCTAAAACAGTCGATTGATTGGAATCACACTAGAACCAAAACCAACTAGGAACTAAAACAGTCGATCCATTGGAATCACACTAGAAGCAAAACCAACTAGGAACTAGCGGTTCAAGAGCTATTTCAAGTTCAAAATTTAAGAAATCTCAAATCACTGTCCAGTGAATATTGAACACAATGAAGTTCACGAGAAATCAGCTGTGAAGCCGCTACCATGTGGACCAATCATGTGTTGTCAGGTGTCAGGTGCCCGTGTAGCATCTGTAGAAACTTAAAAAATTTATAAAATATTTCTTGGTGGTTTTTTTTTTTTTTTTTTTTTTAATTTTATAAAATATTTCTTGGTGGTTTTTTTTTTTTTTTTTTTTAAGTTATTTGGAGAAAAAGGATTCGAACATGGTCTATTATCAAGTCGTTATATGTACTTATTTTTTTTTTTTTTTTTTTTTTAAGTATTTGGAGAAAAAGGATTCGAAATGGATCTATTATCAAGTCGTATATGTACTTAGTCGTATATGCACTTACTGCTAGACTATGTGTGCTATTCTTTCATGGCTTTTGAAAATTATGTAATTAGCTAAAAAAAGTTTAAAAATTCTAAATCCTAAACTTTTAACAATATAAAAAAATGAATAAAATAAAAGATTGAGAATAATAGTTAATTTTCATATTTCAATAAGAAATTTTAGCTAAATACATTTAATTATAAAAAATTTATCAATTTCGATATTTGAATAATAAAAGAATAAAGTGAAATATTAAAATAAAAAATTGACAGAATTCAGACACTAACATTATAATTATGCCTTATAATAAAAATATTTAAATTAACAATTTGCTACCATGTATGATAACAATTTACCAATTTGAAATGTAAAAAAATAAATGTGTCAAATTTTGTCAAAAAAATCCCATTATTGTTATTATAACTAGTCACGTGCACTGATTGTAATATTTTTGTTATTAATCCAATTAAACTTTCAATTCCATTTTAAATAGAATTTTTTTCTCCGATACTTACCTAAGTAATTAATAAAAAAAAAAAAAGAGAAATAAAGTGTCTAAATTTCATTATGTTTTGTCTTGAATTAAAAAAAAAAAATTCATATTTATTTGTAACCATAGGTCTAGCGCTCCCCATTATAAAGCATAAGGAATATTTGCTAATTATTTGTTCTTTGAGTCTAAATCTGAGTAATATATGAAGGGCATCAATTCTACTAAATGAGATAAATGATGATGAAAAACTGGTGCATTATTTTTGGAAATTTAAATATTTTAGAAGAAAACTAAATAAAAAGTTAAAAAAAGGTTGACAACTAAAATTTAACCATGCCAAAGGTTCAATTCATAGACAAACATAGTAAATAAAATAGATAAAAACTCAAAACTAATTAAATAAAAATTAAATCAATAATTTTGAAAGATCTTTCATTATTTGTAAAAAGAATAAGGTTTAAGAGAAATTAATAGAAAGCAACAAATTCGCAAATATAATAATTAATTATAAAAAAAAAAGAAAAGAGATCTTATCACTGGATTTCTTGTGTAGCTTTTGTAAATTAAAAAGATCACCAAATTTGGTGCAACTATAAATATTGTGGCGTGTTCAAAACCTTCAGTGTTGTTATTGATTTCCGGTGGCTTCTTCTCTCAAAAAGAGAAAATAGAGGAATTATTTATTTTTATGGTCAATCTTTATGTTATACTATTTTAGTTTATTCTATTCATTCACATTTAAGGCAAAGGGTACGGCTAATTGATTACCAAGGGTACAAATAGAGGATCATTACAAATATAAACTCCCCATTTGGTATTGATAACTGATAATAATTAATAGTTATATAATAAACAATAAATTAAAAATACAAAAAGAAAAAAAGAAAAAAAAAATCAGCACTTCAAAGCTCTAGTTTTGTGTCATGTTAGCTTTGAAGGCTATGTTTTTATTTATTATATACGTAAATAGATAGATCGTAACAGTTTATCAATTTATATAATTACAATCATTAATTAGAGCTATAATTAACTCATGTAGTCACTTATCAACTACTGTTATAATTAGCCGCTCTCTCTCTCTCTCCCAAACCTAAAATTTAAAAGTTCTTTTTTCTTCTTCCACGGGCGACCATCGGTGAGCTCTCACTGGTGGTCACCCCTTTTCCATTTTTTTTTTTTTTTTTTTTAAATAATCCTCGGACCTGTATACAGATTTGAGTTATTGTAGTCTAACCATTGGGATTTGTCGTTGCCATATATTGAAATTTTGTTCTCATATCTAATTTTGAGTTATTGTTGTCACCATTATGATGATTTTGTCTAACATCTTTTATTATTTGGATAGTTATGCAGAAATAGGTGTAGATCTCCGGAAGATATTTGAAGGTAATCAGATCGACCTTGTAGAAAGTCCATAGAGTCGAACAGTAGCCACGAAAAATCACCAAGTGGAGCCAGCGATCGCCGATGGTACAAATATTATGCTCAACTCGATCAGATACTTCAAATCAAGATTGTATTTTATTTATTCTTTGTATAAGTGGTTTATTATTAAACTTCTCATACAAAAATTTAGAAACATATTGATCTGTATCTCATACTGTATACAATTTACTTTTAATAAAATTTCTAATTTGTTTTCTTCTAAAAAAAATTACTGCTATAATTAACCTTAATAAATAAGCACTTGCTGGTTGTTGTTCTTTGAAATAAGGAAATTGATTTGGACAATTTGATTAGAACTAAATGCTGCAAAATATTCATCATTCAAACTATAAAGAGCCGTATGGGATTGACTAAACAATTAATTTTGGCCAACAGCTTGCTTCAAGCATTTAATTGAAGAAGATGGCGAGGGAGACGCATGAAGAAGATGGGGAGGGAGACGCATTTCTTATATTTCTTATATTTCTGTTTTTTAACAAAAAAAAAAAAGTGGATAACATTAGTCATTGTTGATGTATTTGATTTACTTTAATATAATTTTAAAATTTAATAACTTATTAACTTATTTTTATATAAAATCGATAGGGTTGTCAAAATGAATCATAATTCTGGAACATGATTTACTTGATACATAAATTAAACGGGTTAAAATTGAATCAGTAAGTTTATGTCATAAACCGGTGAGATGTATATACTACGAATTTAAACAAATTGTGTTACGGGTTGCTTTACGGAACTCATCTAACTTAGTCAATTAAAGGTAAAAATTAAATTTCATATATAATATTTATACCTAATATACATTTTGTTTTTTTTACACTGTATGCGACAAACATATAATTCAGTTACTTAAATGGATTATGTTTTGCCCCATTCAATTAAACAGGCTATATGCATCATGTTTGTTACCTATTTAATTTTGGATTGTGTTTGTTTTTAAATATTTGACATAACCATTAAATAGGTCATATTCGTGTTGACCCTAATTTGTGTTACGCATTAGGTGAATTTGTGTCGAACCTAACAGTAAATACGTTTTGACACCCCTAAAAATTGATACTATAAGAAAAAAAAAAAAAAAAAAAAAAAAAAAAAAAAACAGTAAATACGTTTTGACACCCCTAAAAATGATACTATAAAAAAAAAAAAAAAAAAAAAAAAAAAAAAAAAAAAGCTAAATGCTTAAACTCACTCTTATATTTTTTGCGGAAACTTTTTGTCACTCAACTTTTACTCTGAGTCATTAAATACTTTCTATACTATATATAAATGTGAGAAATTGAGGGGAGGGATAATGGGATTTTAGATAAAACCCTTAATGAAATTTGAATATCTTAAAGTAACTTTAGGCATGACCAATTATAAAAATACAGTTATTAGTTGATATTGCAGCATTTTAGATAAATGACGATGTCAATTGAACGGTGTGTCTGTATGCACATTGCTATATTATTAATTAACCGTTATATTCACATTAATCTCAAAATGAAATCTCATTTTAACATTATAAACATCTAAATAATATAAGACAAAATTTATAATCAATATTTAATATTAAAAAATAAAAATAATATAAGACAAAATTTATAATCAATATTTAATATTAAAAAATAAAAAATGAGTATAAATAATAAGTAAAAGTGAGCAATGACATAAAAAATGGAACGAATATGAATAACGAGTATAATCAAAGTGCAATGCACGTCATAAAAGACTAGAATTTTGGAATGATCTAAAATAATATTGTCATAGCCAATAAAAAATTACATTTTATCAGTTGATTAGATATATGTATAAAAATTATTTTTTAAATAAGTACATATAGATAATTAAGCATTTCAAATTTTAAATTTTATCTTTTCTAAATTTATTAAGCATTTCAAATTTTAAATTTTATCTTTTCTAAATTTATTTTTTAATAAATATATATGATAATGAGACATTTGAAAATTTTTATATTTTAATTATTAAATATTTGATTCTATTTTGATTGTAATTTAAAATATTTGATTTAGGAGAGATAAAAAAAGAAAAAAAAAGTATATTTGTTCTATTAATATTCTTTTTCCATGTTTATATGATTTGATTAGATATTTTTTAAAAAATAAATTTTCAAATAGAATATACATAATATTTTATTTAGGAGAGAAATAAAAAAAAGGAAAAATATATTATTTTTATTAATATTTTTTCTTTATATTTTTTATGATTGGATTGGATATATTTTTTTAAAAAATAAATTTTCAAATAGAATTCACATAATTAAATCTTGATAACAAACAATTGAAAATTTTAATTTAAAAAATACATATAATATTTTATT